CAGAACAATGTGCACAGCATGACACCTGAAATGTCAACTAATGTTTTAAAGGACAGAGTGGAGCTACACTAAACCCATATAAATGTTTCCTTGGCCAGGAAGTTTGTAAGAGAGCCAGGATGGAGGGAAGAGAGGAAAGGAAAATAGCTTCATCTTTCACGTACTCATTTTTCATGCTAAGAAACAATGTGTTTGTGATTTTTTTTAAATCCATAACTATACAAAAAAGGAAAGTGAATATGTCAAAATGCTAAAAGTGGTTGATAGTGACTAGTGAGAATCTGAGTAGTTTTCTTAGACTTTGATGCATTTTTCAGTTTGAAAGAAAGAAATATCTGGAGACAGAACACAAGAAAAAGAGAACGGGGTCAGGATCATTGCATTATTTAAACATTCCAAAGATGATTCAGATGTTCAAGGACAGCTGTGGGCAGGCTGTGGGGTATAGTGCAGAGATCATGGGCTTTGGCACCTGAGATTCTGGGTTCAAACTCACATTCACGGAGCATCAGCTGTGTGATCTCGAGCAAGTTACACAACCTCTCAGAACCTCAGTTCCCTCATCCAGAAAACAAGAACGCTGCAAGTTCAATAAGGATCAGATCAAGAATCTTATGTGCCTGACATCATATAATGTTGTTCCACAAATACTAAAACTGGATTCTCTCCTTTAACTAAGTATTTCGAAAGATTATAATTTTTAATTTTTTTCTTTTTACTCATACATAGTAGACTCTATTTTGACATATTTATACAAGCATAGGATATATCTTATTCTAATTAGGATACCACTCTTGTGGTTTCACAGTCAATATTGAGATTCACTGTGGTGTATTCATATATGTACATCTAATTTAACTATGATTTTGCCAGGCTGTTAAAAAGGTATCAGAGTAATGCTGCCCTAGACAATTTCTTGAGTAACTGCTGAATTGAATTTTTCTGAAAAAAAAAATATACATACACCACACACACACACACACACACACACACACAAACAACTGTTCACTGACCACCCAGTACAGTGTCCTGCTTCCTCCTCTGTACAATGGGTATAGAAACACCGCTCAATGATTTGGACAGTTGAGATTCTGGATAATGCATCAAAGAATTCTCCCAGAGCACACATGCGCACGCAACCCTCCTGGGTGCGTTCCATCCAGTTCTAGTAACTTAATTACTTGCAGTTTGTTTATTAGATTGTAAACATCCTGCTCATTTACTATTATTTAATCTATTAACTCTGACTTTAGCCCGAGGGGCAACCTCTCAAAGAGAAAATGTGATTAACTGTCGAACACAAAAGTTGACCAGAAGGAAGACTTTGCCACTAAGAAAACAGGCTGTCTTCTTGACACATCTCGCTTGCTGTGGCTTAGCCGTGCAGCCTCCATTCATTTGGATAACCAGGTTTGATTTTTTTCAAGAGGTTTCATTTTTTTTTTTTAGAACAATTTTCAGTGGACAACAAAATGACATTGTATTTATACAGTGTCAGGCACGTGTCAGTGTTGCTTAGTGTTAGAGCATGCACAAGGTCCTGGGTTCCATATCTAGCATTAAAAAAATAAAAGAAAGGGCTGGAGATATGGCTCAAGCGGTAGCGCGCTCGCCTGGCATGCGTGCGGCCCGGGTTCGATCCTCAGCACCACATACCAACAAAGATGTTGTGTCCGACAACTAAAAAATAAATATTAAAAATTCTCTCTCTCTCTCTCTCTCTCTCTCTCTCTCTCTCTCTCTCTCCTCTCTCTCTCTTTAAAAAAAATAAATAAATAAAATAAAAGAAAGAATAGTACAGAGAGTTTCCACATACTCTGGCCCCAGTGTCTCTCATTATGAACATCTTATGTTAACGCAGAGCATGTGTTATTATTAAGGCATTGATGCCAATGCATTATGGTAAACTACAGGCCATGCTTAATCCATATTTCTTGAGTTTGTGTCTAACTAATGTCCTTTGTCCATCTGAGGAGCTCACTCAAGATGCCACAGACGTTTCCTCTTCAAGTCTATTTAGGATCCCCTTGGACAGCTTTTTAGACATTCCTGGTTTTTAATGACCTTGACAACCTTGAGGAATAGTAACCAGATAATTTCTATAATGCCCTTCCATCAAGGTTTATCTGATGTTTTCCTTGTGGTTGGACAGGATTCTGGATTTGGGGTTAGAAGAGCTCAGGGGTGAAAGGCCACTTTTACCACATATTCTTTGATCTTTTTTAACATGAAGAAAAGCTTTGTTTTAAATATCAGGTTTCTTTGTTGACAATATCTATCTACCTTGGTCAAAGTGTGGTAAGGAAGTCTGCACTTGAAGAGTAGGAGCAACCGCTTAAATCATTCAGAATTCCTCTGTGTAAGAAATCTGTGTGTTCTCCACCTATTTACATACTCATCACAGATATTTAATTTCACTAGCAAATCCAGGGTAAAAATGGACTGGCTCAGGAATGCTCCTTCAAATCCATGGTAAAAGAGTGAAGATTCTAATTTCCTTTGCTCGTATTTAAATCTAGCTTGATTCTTAATTGAACAATTAGTGTCTATAAAATCTTGGTCGACTGATGATACAATCACATCCTCTTGAAGAAACCATCCTGAGGGTCAGACAGAAATGTACACGCTGAGAGGCGAATCAGTTCTACAGTGAAAGGTCAAAGTGTTTGGAAACACAGAGAAGACAGCAAGTTGTTCAAGGATGCTGGAGATAGGAGGTCTAGGTCTGAGACAAGGTGCATCTCCTGGGTATGGAACCTGCATTTCCACAGAGCTCACTCTTGGGGTCTAAGGTGCCCACGAGTCCTCTTGAAATTCTTTTTTTTTTTTTTTATTGTTGGTCGTTCAAAACATTACATAGCTCTTAATACATCATATTTCACAGTTTGATTCAAGCGGGTTATGAACTCCCAACTTTACCCCGTATACAGATTGCTGTATCACATCAGTTACCCTTCCATTGATTGACATATTGCCTTTCTAGTGCGGGGTAAGACAAGATAATACAAATGGAAGAAATGATTTACAGTAGAAGGGGTATAGAGTAAAAAAAGGGGAGGGGAGGGGAGGGGAGGGGAGGGGGGATAGTAGAGAATAGGACAGACAGCAGAATACTCTTGAAATTCTTAACTCCATCTTTGAGTTTCTGGGTGATAAGCCAAGTCCGAGGGGGCAGTGAAGCACGCAACAGGTGTGTGGAGTCCCAGCTCACCTGTAACCCTGCCTCTGTCCCCTCCCTAGTTCCCAGCAGGGAGTATAGGGGACTTGTTCCTAGCTCTCTGTACCAAGGGCCCCACCCAGGCTCACCACATCACCACAGTCGTGACCAGGTGGCAAGAGGTCGAGGGGGACAGACACATTCCTCTGCCACCCTCCCCACCCATAGATTTGGCAGGTGGTTGGTGCATGACTTGGTCCTATGTGAATCTCTCTTCCAAGGCTGCAATCTCTTGGGGGGTCACTGTCACTGTGAGGTGGTACAGCAGGCCCAGCAGAGGGGAGATGGTCTTTCCCACCAGTAATAGGAGCATGGCTGTCAGTCCAGCAGCTAAGGGGCCACCATGCCCAGGAAAGGTGGAGACAACTAAATAACAAAAGCCACCGAGACAGCACAAGAGAGAGATTGCAGAAGAAATGGGACAGTTTTATGTTTTGGTTTTCTTGACAGCACTTTTCTTTAGTTTCCTTAAAGTGCCTTTTCATGTCTTTGGTGAATAATAAAGCCAGTCTTTTCTGGGGCAGTACTGAATAGCAGTTAAGGGAGTAGGTCTTAGAGTCGGAATGCCTGGGTTCCAATAATATCTCCAGGATCTGTGTGACCTTGGGCAAGTGACTTGACCTCTCTGAACTTCAGTTCTTTTCCCTGAAATGCAGAGAAAGAAATAGCCCCTACCTCATGCTATAAAAATAAGATTCAATGAGATCATGTCTGTAGAGCTGACATCACTGAGAGACATTCCCACACTCTAACCCAGCTCCACAGCTACTCAGACCTTCTGCTGGATCTTAAAGAAGGCAGCTTTTCCTTACAACTTCTGTGTAGCCCCCACACTTCACCAAGCACTGAGAACCTCACAGGTTTCCATGTGATGTCTCATTCTACCCAGCCAGATACTCGAAGGATTTGTTGAATGTGTGATCAAACCAATGTGTCAATCAGCTGAGAGGTCAGAGAAAAATGGGTACAAAGCAATGTATCCTCAGGTAGGAAAAGTCCCAGCTAAAATACTGGCAAAATATTTGGGAGGAATCTGGGTTAGGAAGACATGCCCAGCAAAAGCTCAAATCAGCATTTCCTAAATTCTGTTCCAACATGTTAATAAATGTCCTAAAAAGTAAGAGTCCACAGTGATAAGCTTGGAAAACAGTACACACGTTTCCCATTTAAACTAACATGATATACTTTAGCATTTTATAGACTCTAAACTTCCTACAGTAAAAAAATCAGATAAAATGAAACAACCCCAAGTTTTCCAAGCACATTGATCATGAAACCCCCTTTAATCATAAGACCTCTACTACCAGTATTTTCAAGAACATCAACTGTTTTCAAGAACAGAATTTGGATTTAAGCTGTTTGAGGAAGGGATGGTGTCTTACTGTTATCCTATGCCTAAACGTAGAAGAGAATCAAAATTAATTTAGAGAATAAAAGAACAAATGGTTCTTCATTTCATTTTTGGCTGGTCTTTAGTTACACTCCTATATAACATTTATATAACATGCATCTAGGCATTTTACAAAACACATGATTTTATCACAGAATCCCATTTGAAGACAACAAGTCACATACTGTCAGCACCATACTATGAATATTTAAACTAAAAAGCTCAGAGAGATTGTGTGACTTTAACAGAGTTGCACAGCTGGTTAATCTAAGGGCCTGATCTAAAAATCGAGCCTTCAATTCTATATCCTATTTTTTTTTACTGCATATAATTTTAAAATTCCTCAAAACTTTGCTATGCCATTATTCAAGACAAAATGAAGAGAGCACTTACCTCAAATAAGCGCAAGACTTTGGCCAGTGCACCAACTTCTTCTTTGAGCGAGAAAATCAGTGAAATGGCACCATTTTGAATGGAGTTGTCTTCAATGTAGCTCGTTTCCTACAGAATCAGATGCACTTGGTTAAAGTGTTTTTCATCACTTAGCAATTCATTCCCATGAAGCCAAGTAGGAATACAATGTTCTTGTATTTTTGTTAAGCCTTGGAATACAATGAGCTTCATGTATTCTAAACAGAAATACGTGGTGGTGTAGAAAATAAATAAATAAATGGCAATGGAATGGTCAATGATACGCCCAGGTCAGCTTTCAATTGTAAGAAGTTTCCATTATTCATGACGTCACCAAGAATCGAGGTCTTTTAATGAGCACTACTAAATGTCAGGCATGATATACTTTGTATCTTTGGGAGAGATGCAAAGATTAATAAAGTGTTTGCACCTTTTAGGAGCTACAGTCTGACTCTAAGCCACTCATACAGTAAATCAAAAGATCCTCAGAGATGATCAAATATGGTTCAAAAAGTATCCCAGGAAAGCATTGAGAAATAGATTGGAAAGTGCTAAAAATAGAACACTCGCAGGCTTTGAGTCCATGACCTGGTTTGGAACTCTCTCTTTTTTATTTATCAGCTGTAGTGATTTGCATGCAAATCACTTAGCCTTCTTAGTTTCCTTGCCTATAAATGCATTTTCTTGATAAGGCCTAACCAATCACTATTCAGATGATATAAAAAGAAGAAGTTTCAATAGAATATTGATAGAAGTATATAAAAATGATGGAAATATCATAAAGTACACATGAATGACTTCTCAGCGTTTGGCAGGGAAAAAAAAAAAAAACTCAGCATGAATTTGTTGCCACGTACTGGGATCTGAGATGTCCGATTGCTGAAATAGAATTGCAAACTACACAAATAACCTATCAGAAGATGGATGCCTTTCACTAACTAGTGAAGAATGTCAGGGATCTAGCACATACTCTATGCGTGTGACATGCACACCGAGATGGGATTAGAGTTGACAGTCTGTGAGTTTGCCAACAGAGTTCCTGGAGTTTTTAAAAATCATATGTAAAATTCCGAGTGTGCCCATAAATAGGCAGCATGTTCTCCCAAAAACAGGAAGGAGAAAAATGTGCAGAACAATTACTCTCTTGTAAGCAAGTTAATGAGGTTAATGGGGCGGGTGTTACATCATCTCAGTGACAGAAAGCTACACTGGGCAGATTCTTATCAGTGTCTCAGGATAATGTCCCTACATGAATACTGATGACCCTTAGGACAAAATTCTTTGGATTCAGAGAATTCAGAGTTTCCCAGAAGTTCACATGAAATAGGAGTATGGGGAATTTATCAGCAAGTAGGACTATAGGGTGGTTCAAATAAAAGACTGAACTGTTACATATCCCTGTTTGGACCAGATGTTATCTTTCTTAAAAAAATTTTAATCTGTCATTACTAATTTTTAAAAAAATTATAAGCATTTAGCAGAACCATCAGTAGAGTGGAGGGAAGGGTACAAGGGAGGGAGGAGGGGAGGAAGAGGAGGATGTACTGAGGAATGAATTAGAACAAATTATATTCCATGCTTTTGTAAATGAAATCTATTGTCATGTATAACTAAAAAAAAAGTAAAAAGAATCTGTAGTGTCCTGGGTATTATAAGCACTTGATTTGGAAAACCATCTTATGACTAGGTTTGATTATGTACCAAGTTCCCTCTTCAACTGTAGAGGGTAAGGAACTGGCCCACGGTGTGGCAGTTAGCGGGGGAGCTAGGATCTGAACCTAGGAGACTTGATCCCTGTGTACTGTGCAAGGTCACAACCTGCTGCGGACTCTTACCTCCCACTTTGAAATCCTGCCAGGGGCCAGGTGAAATGGCACATGCCTGTAATCCCAGCAGCTTGGAGGCTGAGGCAGGAGGATCGTGAGTTCAAAGCCAGCCTCAGCAATTTAGCGAGGCCCCTATGCCACTTAGCGAAACCCAGTCTCAAAATAAAAATGGCTGGGGATAAAGCTCAGTGGTTGAGCACCCCTGGCTTTAGTCCCTGAAACCAAAACAATAAAAATCAATAAACTCTCCCAGAGATGTGCCCATGAGTCTGATTTCAGTCTCCTTCCTACAGAGAGCATTGAGGCCTTAATCCTTTGCAGTTTCCTTCAAATAACAAAGGGTTTCCCTGTTTCTAATTCACTTGGCAACTTTCTTTCTCCTGTTGACCTCCAAGAAAAGTAGGATATTCCTGATATGCCTCTACAGATGCTCCCTGCCACAAAGGCAGTGAAGTCTTAGATGTCCTTGTGGGTGAAGTTCAGCTACCCATCTCCCACCCAACTCTCAACGTGTGTCCAGCCAATGAAGTTCACTGCAGTCGTCCCCAGCAACCACCTTAGAAGTTAGTCTCTTTTTCTGTTCCCACAGCCATCATGTGAATCCTGCTCTCCGTGGTCTATCTGCATTGATCCCACTCCAACAGAATTTTGCCCATAAACTTCTGTGTTTTCAAAACCATTCCCAGTGATTTTTAATAATGGAAAAACCTCAAAACCATGGATAAATATCTGGTCCGTTTTTAAATTATGACTTTTCTCAAATGTGTCTGCAAATGTGCATTTACCATATGATAGGGTGCTACTCTGTCGTTATTAGTATCAATGCTCAGTACCTGTCCCTGACTGGGTACCCCCTTTTTGCCAGGAACCCTACTGAGTACTTTTTTCACATATAATTTGCATCATCGTTGGTAGCAGGTAGCACTGTTCAAAGGGTTTGAATGTCACGGCTCAGTGAGTCCTGAAGTAGGAACAATATTTTGCAAATGAAGGAAGAGGCTCAGCAAGAACATCCAGCTAAAGAGCAGCAGGGCTAGCCTTGAACCCAAGTCCAACAACCTCAGTGCCCTTATTCTGCCTCCCAGTGGCAGACTCTGAAGTGGTACAATAGCTTCCTCTCTGTGAAGTGTGAGGTGTGTGTGTGTGTGTGTGTGTGTGTGTGTGTGTGTGTGTGTGTGAGAGAGAGAGAGAGAGAGAGAGAGAGAGACTCTACCTCTGAGCTACATCCCTAGCCCTTTAATAATTTTATTTTGAGACAAATTCTCACTGAGTTCTGGAGGCTGGCCTTGAACTTGTGATCCTTCTGGCTCAACCTCCTGAGTCACTGGGATTATAGGCAAATGTCACCATATCTGGCACAGGAGGGACTTTAAGTGAAAGGAAGCTCCTAGTAGTTTGTGAAATGGTGTGGCCTTCAATAGATTTGGAGTCTGGATTCTGATACTGCTGTTCTGCTCCAGGCAATCAGGGACCCTTGATCAAAACTTTTTTGTAGTAGACTTTTATTGGCTTATAAACTATACCCTTATTTGTTTCCAACAAACATGTGGGTGGACTTACCCACAGGTGTGCTCAGGATAAAGAAAAGATTGAGTAAATCAGTTCCAAAGTTACATAGGAAGAAACAGAGCCAGGGGAAAGAATTTTACCAGGAACCAGGGTGCAAAGAATTTTGATCATTGAGAAATACAATAGACACGGTAAGTTCAACAATAGACACAGTATGTTCTTTTTGGTTGTGTATATCAAAGGCATTCTATTACCTTTGGAAAAGAGCTGATTTCGAATTTATAAGCAATCCACTTTGGCAAGGATATTCTGGGAATCCTAACTTTTTAATGTTAGTGCTTTGGGGGGTTGTGGAGGAGGTTTGTATTTGCAGGTGTGATCAAAGAGAGAGAAAGAGATCTATACTGTACTACTACTGAAAACAAGAGACCGATCTTCTGTCTCAGTGTTATCTCCGTAGGATGGTATGAATACAGCATATTTCTATATTCTAGCATTTACCTATGGGAGGAAGCATTATAGTAAAGAAATTTGCAGTTTGGGGAGTCGGAGCTAGGGGTTTTGTTTGTTTTTGCCATTCATTGATGTGATTTCTGTGTTGTTCACCTTCTATCCTATTGATCTGATCCATTTTTTCTTCACTGCATTCATCTCTATATGACATCACGTGTTCATTTTGTTAATTTGTTATTGTTTATCTCTTACACTAAGATAAAAGTTTTGCCAGAAATAAAAACCACTGTGGCTGGGAAAAGCAGGTGCTCAATGAGTCTTGGTCGTGTGGATGATTGTTGTGCTGATTGCATGAATAAGGCCCTGATTTACTATATGCCCCAGGAAAATGGCTCCTTCCCCAGTTGGCCTTAAGTATCATAGGGATGTCTAGCTGCTTATCTGAGTTGGGAATTTTAAGAAGGCATAAACTCTCTTTTGAAGACTGTCAGAGACAGAGGGAGTCCTAAAGAATAATCTAGTCCAACACTTCCCACCTTGATCTTACACATACCCAACTGAGTCTCCTCATCCCAGCCAAGTGACTTCCCCAGGCAGCTTAAATAGGTCAAGGATGAGAACGCAGGTCTCCCCACTGCATGTCCAGCATGTCCCTCCTGGGCTTCACTAGGCCTGGTGCCTGACCTGCTATTTCTCCTTCCTGCCAATATCGGAGCTGCATTTTATTGAAAAAACAAATTGGGTCTGGTGCACACATTCTCACTTTTGAGTGCTCCAGAAACTATACTAAGAGGTTTATAAGCATTATTTTGTTTAATTCTCATTGAATACTAGGATGTATTTTTATTCCTAGTTTACAAATGAATCAACCTGAGACTCTGCAAAGTAAAATATCCTGCTTTTGATGCAGAGGTTGCATCAGAGCACACTTGGAACCCTCCTCTTTACTAGTGCCCCTGTTAATGGTGGTGATAACTGGTGTGTCCTCACCTCAGTGCTCAGATGGCTGCCCTGACCTGCTCCTAGGGCTGTAGGGTCCCCACCTCCAGCCACACGGAAACAAAACGGAGGACAGTTTAAGTTCTAGGACCTGCCTGCACCACGCACCACCCCTCTTCAACACTAAGTTCTTCTGACTCTGGTAGACTGCACACCATTTTCAGAGGTGATCTTTCTCCTGGGATCCAAAAGGAGCCAGCCCAAATTTTAGGAGTCTCTCCAGTTATATTAACTTAAACATCAATCCTCCTCTCCTCTCCTACCTCTTTGGTCTCTGTGATAATCCTCCCTGTCACAGTCTCA